GCCATGGTGTCTTAAAAAAGCATCGCGCTATAATGTGCGTGCGTGCGTGCGTGCAAATCTGTGGTTGTTGTATCTTTGGGGTGGCGGGAGTGCCGTGGTTAGCGCGCTGCACTACGAACATGGTGGCCCCGGGTTCAATTCAGTTCCCGTTAATATTTGTGATTAATTTATGAAGATGTGATGAAAGGCCAATTGCCTGTGATTATTCAAGTAAATTTCGTCTACTTTACGAGACAGAGGAAGTTATTTGAGGGACCATAATTGGGGTATTTCATTTCTGTACGAAAAAATATAGTAAATAGGTCTGCTAATTTTATAATTTGACCAGTTGGAATCATACAACTGCGTAGGATTCTGTTGTTGGAGCTGTGTAGTTCTGCGATGTATTTTGAGTTGAACCGCGTGTTGTTCCACACGATGTCTGAAATTTTGCTCTCCGTGCCAGGAAGCTTCTTCAGGAACTGAAGCTGGAATAATATTTCATCCTGCACCAGACAGAACTGCAGATTTGAGAAAGAAAGTTGGACCGACTGCCAAAACTAAATTAGCCGACGCACTTCTCAAAACTATTTTTTATTTCACCAGGTAAAGCCCACTGAGCTATATAGCTCTTTTTCAGAGCGACCTGACCCACAAATGATAGCGCAAGTGGCTTATTATGTGGACATTTTTAGCAGCCAAATACTCTAAATGCACGTTTCTAAATGTGGAAGAAATAACCGGAGGACCCGGAAAAAATTCCACGCGACCACAGGAAGAACATGCAAACTCCAAATATACAGGCATCAGGGTTGGGATCGAACCCTCGATCTCCTGTATACCAGGCAAGGGAGTTAACATCCCGTCACCGTAATGCCCATCTCGCGACCATGCCTGCAACACAACTGGAGTCATCTGACAAAATTTTCGCCAAACTGCAATTGGCGGTGGCGTCTGCAGCAGCAGCAGCAGCGGTGTTTCGTCCCAGCAGTGGCGCTTCTCGCTGCAGCGCCCGCCGTCGTACCCTCCAGCAGACGCCGCACCAACGCCGACGGCTCCTCCGCATCCTCCACCAGTACCCAGTGGAGCGCGGGCACGAGCGCCAGCGTGTGCGCCAGGCGAGTCAGCTCAGCCTTCTGCACGAGGCGGGCGTACGTGGGGGTCACCACGTAGATCGTAGGCAGCGGCCGCTCGTCATCGTCGCCGCCGTCATCGCCGCCACCGCCGCCGCCGTCATCATCACGGCGCCCGGCGCCGATGCGGTCGCGAGCGCGCGCTGCCCTCCGCACGCGTCGCAGCTCGGAGAGGAGCTCCGACTCGCGCTGTTCGGCCGCCACCAGGTGCGTGCGGCAGTCGCACGATTGGCCTGCAAGAGAGAGCGGCGGGGGTGGGGGGGATGCGAGCGCGCGCGAGGGGCGCATAACGATTCGGCACCGGACGGCGAGACGAAATATCGTCCCTGCGTTCAGTCGCAATTTTTGAAATGCGCTCGGAAACGCTCCGCCCCGTTCGACGTTTTGCCTCCGTTGGCTACGGTGACATAATTTGCAGGGCGAACGTCAATTCGATCTTGGAGCAACTAAACCATTCAGCCTATCGATTCGCCTTAAATTCCAGCTAATTCAACCTGTCATTGTGACATCCTAATCTGGTTTTTGCTCATTCTCAGCAGGAGAAATATACGTTTTAGCATATAGAATTTCCCTACGTGACTTTCTCTGGACTTTTGCCCTGCAGCAAATATGGTTTGATGCTTCCAGTTCAAACCCTTGCCACCTAAGACACATCTCGAGGATGCAGCGAGTGCACTGCCGTGAAGGCAAATAACTGTTTTGGGCAACCCTCGCTTTCCTTTAATGCACCATATTCTAGGAACTTAATTGATTCCAAATTGTTTGGAAGTTCTCCCTTCAGTTTCCGAATTTGAATTAATTTTAAGCTTTTTCAGGTAACCTCGGCACAATTTGTTTGGAACCCCTCCACAGACCTGTCCGCCAAGGGAGTCCCTACCAGGAGTACATCCAGGCAACATAGCTCTGAGGGACATTGGAACACACAAATCCCACCACCACGTTAAGGTTACGATTCCTTCGGTGGGGAATGTTATTTATTCAATATTTGGTTTCATTTCTTATATGGTTCTGATCGAAAATGTTCATTTTGTAATGACAATGCTTACTCGTAATTGGCTATTGGACATTTTTAAATCCTATTGCTACTTACTCTTGCCTAAAGTCTCTTGTCAAATGGATATAAGTATTGCCTACGGGCTCTTGCCTATAACAATATCAACTTATATAACGACTTTCATAAAACCTCAAGGCGCTTTACATCAATGACATCGGGGGTGGTGTTGGGTGAGAAGTGGCTCTGAATTGAAACAGACAATGCCTTCAGAAATGTCTTTTGGATCGAGGCGACGGCACGGAGATCACCGCCCGTGGACTTGAGCTTCGTTCTGGGGATGCAGAGGCAATCCAAGCCCATCAATCTCAAACTTCTTGTTGGAACGTGGTGCGGTCTCAGTAGCAACTCCCCAATATGGAGGTGCCAGGCCACTCAAGGGCCTTGAATGTGAGGAGGGCCTTAGATTCTGAACGGAATTTAAGCAGCAAACAGTGAGTGAAGCGATGCAAGCATGAGGGGTTGGTATGTTCTGCATGAAGAGTTTGGGCAAGGACCCAAACAGCTGCATTCTGAACGGAGAGGAGTCGATAAAGTATCTTACTGGATGTTCCAGATAGAAAGGCGTTGAAGTATTCTTTGGCTTTTACTATTTCCTATCACAGTGTTCTACATTGCAAGGCCCGCGGGCCAATAGCGGCCCCTGGTGGCCTTTCGTGCAGCCTCCAACAATACCCAAAGAGGGAAAACACCGCCCCATCATCATCATCATGCTGCTGTCTAACCCACAATGGTTTAAAATGTGTAGCAGCCCTCACACTGATGAGATCTTATCGGCAAAAGTGGCCCCCATCTGAAAATTAAGAACACTGGACTTTTTCGCTATGGCAATTGTCTATCGGCTTTCGTTCTTGCCTTACGACAATTGGCTATGATTATCGCAAAATGGTTATGCTCACTTGCTAAAAATATTGCGTATCGGCGACTGTCTATGGTAATTTCTGGCTGCCCATTGCTTATTGGCTATCTACCCATTGGACATCAACAGAAACATCAAAAAGCTTGTTGTTCGGAAAAATTAAACGATCCGGAGAGGGAGGAAGACCTAACAGAGAGAATCAATGGGCTTGACGACGATATAAGAGATTGGTGCAAGAAAGACGTGAGCACTACTTGAGAATATTGCATAGCTATCAACCCATACGGTTTAACTCCGTATTCTTGAACAGGGAAATTGAGTTTTCAGGTCCATACGGCATACAGACGTTTCAATACTGGCAAACATTTTTTTTGTCTTTCACCCTTGTGATGGGACCGACTGTCGAGATGAACGTTGGAATTCATAAGGGGCACGGGATGACCAATAAGGTCTGAATTGCTCTGCATTAAGGTAGGGCACTGATAAGGGGTTGACAGGTATGATTTTGGCACTACAAGGCAAGAGGAGGAAAGTGGAAACAGATGACGAAATGCACAGTGGACACCTCCGGCGAAACCTAGCTGCCCACGTGGATTGTGATGGCCTTTTGACCCAGCGAGATCACTGGCAGATTCAACCGTCTGTGCTCTCCACTGCCACGACGATCCCTCGTTCAGTCTACAGAGGCTGTTGGGTCTCCTGCTGTTAGCAAGGACCTGATGATGACCCTTTTGACACACTGAGCTACTGTGATTGCCAATGACTGTATTGAGAGCGTATTGCCTATGGGGGGGGGGGGGCTGCTATTTGCCTTCTTGGGGCTTTGCTGCTGCCGCTGCTGATGCCGGAGGAGGCTCGTGAAGGACGCTGCTGCTGCTACTGGGCAATTGGAAGCAGTCGCTCTCCAGCAACGACGAAGGGTAGAGGAGCGACGCTCACAACAACGAGCGGAGCGCCAGGCGGGGGGTACAGCTGGTGGTGGTGCATCTACCGGTCATCTCAGCCAACCCCATGGCACCTGCAGGGTCCGTCCAGAGACCTCCTGCACCTAGCCTGGCACAGTAGGGGTACAGCTGGTGCATCTACCTGTCATCTCAAGTCAGCTAACCCCATGGCACCTGCAGGGTCTGTCCCGAGACCTCCTGCACCTAGCCTGGCACAGTAGGGGTACAGCTGGTGATGGTGCATCTACCGGTCATCTCAGCCGACCCATGGCACCTGCAGGGTCTGTCCCGAGACCTCCTGCACCTAGCCTGGCACAGTAGGGGTTCAGCTGGTGGTGGTGCATCTACCGGTCATCTCAGCCGACCCATGGCACCTGCAGAGACCTCCTGCACCTAGCCTGGCACAGTAGGGGTACAGCTGGTGGTGGTGCATCTACCGGTCATCTCAGCCGACCCATGGCACCTGCAGAGACCTCCTGCACCTAGCCTGGCACAGTAGGGGTACAGCTGGTGGTGATGCATCTACCGGTCATCTCAGTCAGCTAACCCCATGGCACCTGCAGGGTCTGTCCCGAGACCTCCTTGCCAGCGAGCCTTGGACACTTCGCGTGGCGGCCTCAAAGCGCACCTAGCCTGGCACGGGCGCCGTCACTTCGTGGCGAATGGCGTGGGGTGCATTCGGTGTCCGTTACCGAGCTGCGAGAGGGCGTAGAGTAGTCCGCCGCACGACGCCACGAAGTAGAGGAGGAAGAGGCTCTTGAAGCGGAGACGCGCCATTTGGGTTGCCCGCGACGTGAGGGGGGAGAAGGGGGGAGAGGGTGGGGGGGGGGCACGCGGGTGGGGGGCACGCGGGCGAGGGGGGGCAGGCGTAGGGGCACGTTGGGCCGCGATTTACCAATCGCGAAACGGCGGCGTCGCGGCACACGCGGCTACCCGTAGCGCGACGATGTCGATTGCCTCCCTGTCTCCACGTGGCTCGATTCGAGGATCGATGCCTCGATTGGTGGCGTTTGTATTTTTGTCAATACGCAGCGAATCTCGGGGAGGGAGGAAGGGGTGTGTCTGCGTGAGTTAATACAACAATCGTGCGTCAGTGTAGTTGTGCGTGTGTACATTTGAGTGCTGCGGCCGTTGATGCATGTGAATAAGGCGAGTATTAGGAATCGTTACTGCTTAATGATTCGAGGAATCGAATCGACGTGCTGATGTGTGGGCCGACTGGGCCACGCGTTGCGTCACTTCGCTGCATCGCAAACTTGGGGGCATTCAGAATATTGATTCAAATACTGCGCCAGGAATCCGATGAGCTGTAAAGCTCTTTTTCACATATGTCCAGGTTTTTGTCCACCCGGCAGGCCCGTAAACAATTCCACTCATTCAATTAAAAAAAATCCCGCAATTTGCTCATGATAATAATAAAAAAACAACTCCTGACTCCCATTGATAAATTCGTCCTGTACGTCGACATTGACGTCGGGTCTTACGGTGGCCGCGACGGAACGCGACGCCCGCGGCGCGTGACGGTTTTTTTTTATAAAATAAAAAAACACAAAACGCGTTTTATAAATACACCCCCACGAGTCACGCGCCGCGGTTGGAGGCCTTCCAAAGAGAATCGGAAACCCTCGCCCGTCCCCAAACGCGTGCATTGCTCGGCCTCCGAGTTTCCCTGCAACCACGCGAATTGCCATCGCGATTATTTAAAACAAACGAACAAACAACAACAGCAGCAGCCGCGCTTCGTAACGACTCCAGCAGCAGCAGCAACAGATGTTGGACGGCGCTGCACTGTTTGCCTACGCCGTGTTGCTTCGTGTTGGTGGCGGTGGTGGTGGCTAGGTAAGGCGACGACGAGTTTGTACAAAGTCTTTTAAGTTGCAACATTCACCCCGTCGTAAATCAACAAACACGATGGTTGTGGTTGTGGGGGGGGTGGCACGCACGACACGCCGAAACGATCGGTAACTTATATTCTTAGCTCTTTCGGTAAAGTCACGTTGAAGGGAAACAATACAATCATAAAATATATATCTATATATAAAACAATACAAAATTCTCACGACGTTTCGACCATAACGCAAACGGTCGTCATCTGGTGTTATGGTCGAAAGGTGAGAATTTTTTTTATTGTTTTGTATATTTTATTGTTTCCCTTCAACGTGACTTTACCGAAAGAGCTAAGAATATGAATTACTGCGATCGGTAACTTGTTTCGAGAGCACCGTTTAGGGGGTCGACAATTAAATAATGATTAATTGGTGTTGGGGGGGCAGAAGGGAACGCGTTTCGAGATGTAATCCGAGCCCCGTGTGCGCGGATCGGTCGCTTGGGGGGTGGCGTGAGGAGAGGCCTTCATCTAGCAGTGGATTGGCGAGGTTCTGGTGAGGAGAGAGGCCTTCATCTAGCAGTGGATTGGCGAAGTTCTGGTGAGGAGAGAGGCCTTCATCTAGCAGTGGATTGGCGAGGTTCTGGTGAGGAGAGAGGCCTTCATCTAGCAGTGGATTGGCGAAGTTCTGGTGAGGAGAGAGGCCTTCATCTAGCAGTGGATTGGCGAGGTTCTGGTGAGGAGAGAGGCCTTCATCTAGCAGTGGATTGGCGAAGTTCTGGTGAGGAGAGAGGCCTTCATCTAGCAGTGGATTGGCGAAGTTCTGGTGAGGAGAGAGGCATTCATCTAGCAGTGGATTGGCGAAGTTCTGGTGAGGAGAGAGGCCTTCATCCAGCAGTGGATTGGCGAGGTTCTGGTGAGGAGAGAGGCCTTCATCTAGCAGTGGATTGGCGAAGTTCTGGTGAGGAGAGAGGCCTTCATCTAGCAGTGGATTGGCGAAGTTCTGGTGAGGAGAGAGGCCTTCATCTAGCAGTGGATTGGCGAAGTTCTGGTGAGGAGAGAGGCCTTCATCTAGCAGTGGATTGGCGAAGTTCTGGTGAGGAGAGAGGCCTTCATCCAGCAGTGGATTGGCGAGGTTCTGGTGAGGAGAGAGGCCTTCATCTAGCTGTGGATTGGCGAAGTTCTGGTGAGGAGAGAGGCCTTCATCCAGCAGTGGATTGGCGAGGTTCTGGTGAGGAGAGAGGCCTTCATCTAGCAGTGGATTGGCGAGGTTCTGGTGAGGAGAGAGGCCTTCATCTAGCAGTGGATTGGCGAAGTTCTGGTGAGGAGAGAGGCCTTCATCTAGCAGTGGATTGGCGAGGTTCTGGTGAGGAGAGAGGCCTTCATCTAGCAGTGGATTGGCGAAGTTCTGGTGAGGAGAGAGGCCTTCATCTAGCAGTGGATTGGCGAAGTTCTGGTGAGGAGAGAGGCCTTCATCTAGCAGTGGATTGGCGAAGTTCTGGTGAGGAGAGAGGCCTTCATCTAGCAGTGGATTGGCGAGGTTCTGGTGAGGAGAGAGGCCTTCATCTAGCAGTGGATTGGCGAGGTTCTGGTGAGGAGAGAGGCCTTCATCTAGCAGTGGATTGGCGAAGTTCTGGTGAGGAGAGAGGCCTTCATCTAGCAGTGGATTGGCGAAGTTCTGGTGAGGAGAGAGGCCTTCATCTAGCAGTGGATTGGCGAAGTTCTGGTGAGGAGAGAGGCCTTCATCTAGCAGTGGATTGGCGAGGTTCTGGTGAGGAGAGAGGCCTTCATCTAGCAGTGGATTGGCGAGGTTCTGGTGAGGAGAGAGGCCTTCATCTAGCAGTGGATTGGCGAGGTTCTGGTGAGGAGAGAGGCCTTCATCTAGCAGTGGATTGGCGAGGTTCTGGTGAGGAGAGAGGCATTCATCTAGCAGTGGATTGGCGAAGTTCTGGTGAGGAGAGAGGCCTTCATCTAGCAGTGGATTGGCGAGGTTCTGGTGAGGAGAGAGGCCTTCATCTAGCAGTGGATTGGCGAGGTTCTGGTGAGGAGAGAGGCATTCATCTAGCAGTGGATTGGCGATGTTCTGGTGAGGAGAGAGGCCTTCATCTAGCAGTGGATTGGCGAGGTTCTGGTGAGGAGAGAGGCCTTCATCTAGCAGTGGATTGGCGAGGTTCTGGTGAGGAGAGAGGCCTTCATCCAGCAGTGGATTGGCGAGGTTCTGGTGAGGAGAGAGGCCTTCATCTAGCAGTGGATTGGCGAGGTTCTGGTGAGGAGAGAGGCCTTCATCTAGCAGTGGATTGGCGAAGTTCTGGTGAGGAGAGAGGCCTTCATCTAGCAGTGGATTGGCGAGGTTCTGGTGAGGAGAGAGGCCTTCATCTAGCAGTGGATTGGCGAAGTTCTGGTGAGGAGAGAGGCCTTCATCTAGCAGTGGATTGGCGAAGTTCTGGTGAGGAGAGAGGCCTTCATCTAGCAGTGGATTGGCGAAGTTCTGGTGAGGAGAGAGGCCTTCATCTAGCAGTGGATTGGCGAGGTTCTGGTGAAGAGAGAGGCCTTCATCTAGCAGTGGATTGGCGAGGTTCTGGTGAGGAGAGAGGCCTTCATCTAGCAGTGGATTGGCGAGGTTCTGGTGAGGAGAGAGGCCTTCATCTAGCAGTGGATTGGCGAGGTTCTGGTGAGGAGAGAGGCATTCATCTAGCAGTGGATTGGCGAAGTTCTGGTGAGGAGAGAGGCCTTCATCTAGCAGTGGATTGGCGAGGTTCTGGTGAGGAGAGAGGCCTTCATCTAGCAGTGGATTGGCGAGGTTCTGGTGAGGAGAGAGGCATTCATCTAGCAGTGGATTGGCGAAGTTCTGGTGAGGAGAGAGGCCTTCATCTAGCAGTGGATTGGCGAGGTTCTGGTGAGGAGAGAGGCCTTCATCTAGCAGTGGATTGGCGAGGTTCTGGTGAGGAGAGAGGCCTTCATCTAGCAGTGGATTGGCGGAGTTCTGGTGAGGAGGTAGGCCTTCATCCAGCAGTGGATTGGCGAAGTTCTGGTGAGGAGAGAGGCCTTCATCTAGCAGTGGATTGGCGAAGTTCTGGTGAGGAGAGAGGCCTTCATCCAGCAGTGGATTGGCGAAGTTTTGGTGAGGAGAGAGGCCTTCATCTAGCAGTGGATTGGCGAAGTTCTGGTGAGGAGAGAGGCCTTCATCTAGCAGTGGATTGGCGAAGTTCTGGTGAGGAGAGAGGCCTTCATCCAGCAGTGGATTGGCGAAGTTCTGGCGAGGAGAGAGGCCTTCATCTAGAGTGGATTGGCGAAGTTCTGGTGAGGAGAGAGGCCTTCATCTAGCAGTGGATTGGCGAAGTTCTGGTGAGGAGAGAGGCATTCATCTAGCAGTGGATTGGCGAAGTTCTGGTGAGGAGAGAGGCCTTCATCTAGCAGTGAATTGGCGAAGTTCTGGTGAGGAGAGAGGCCTTCATCCAGCAGTGGATTGGCGAAGTTCTGGTGAGGAGAGAGGCCTTCATCTAGCAGTGGATTGGCGAAGTTCTGGTGAGGAGAGAGGCCTTCATCCAGCAGTGGATTGGCGAAGTTCTGGTGAGGAGAGAGGCCTTCATCCAGCAGTGGATTGGCGAAGTTCTGGTGAGGAGAGAGGCCTTCATCTAGCAGTGGATTGGCGAAGTTCTGGTGAGGAGAGAGGCCTTCATCTAGCAGTGGATTGGCGAAGTTCTGGTGAGGAGAGAGGCCTTCATCTAGCAGTGGATTGGCGAAGTTCTGGTGAGGAGAGAGGCCTTCATCCAGCAGTGGATTGGCGAAGTTCTGGTGAGGAGAGAGGCCTTCATCTAGCAGTGGATTGGCGAAGTTCTGGTGAGGAGAGAGGCCTTCATCTAGCAGTGGATTGGCGAAGTTCTGGTGAGGAGAGAGGCCTTCATCCAGCAGTGGATTGGCGAAGTTCTGGTGAGGAGGAGGAGGGGGGAGGCCTTCATCTAGCAGTGGATTGGCGAAGTTCTGGTGAGGAGGAGGGGGGGGAGAGGCCTTCATCCAGCAGTGGATTGGCGGCGCCCGACGACGAAGACAACCTACAACACACTGTGTGTGGAGGGTTATCGCAACAGCGTGGTGCGGAAGCGGCAGCGGTAGCTGCGGTAGTGGACACGGGTTGTTTGATTGTGCTAGAGGGAAATCGACGATGGGCCAAGAGGAGGAGGAAGGAGGAGGAGGAAGGAGGAGGAAGGGCTTCTTGAGCGTGGGCAGGGAGTCCGACGTGCCCTGTGTGGCTGCGAGGGGTATGGGAGGTCCCACACCTCGATGCAGCAGCATAGAAGTGTTACAGTCAACAGTATCAAAGTATGAAAAAAAATAAGAATGTTTTACCCTTTTGATTTAAAGCTTTCGTGACTGCAGGGATTCATATTCTTGGTTCTTTCGGTAAAGTCACGTAGAAGGGAAACAAAAAATAATAGAAATATAAAACAATTAAATTCTCACGACGTTTCGACAACACGTTCTACTTTATTAAATAGAGTTCTTAATAAATGTTTTCTCCTACAGTATCAGAGTGCGGCGCCACGTTAAATACGCACTAAAATGACAATAGTTTAAAGCGATTTGAAGCATGTTTTATTTTTAAAATGGAAATATATTTGAGGGGGGGGGGGGGGAATCAAAAATCGTCCAAAATCGCGTGACGTCATTTATGGACTTGCCCCCAACCACAAAACCACTCATGCAAGGTTTGCCGACATTGCATACGTACGTCTATGTAGACCGCTCTTTTGTTATTTATGATCCGCTTGTTGCGTATATGGCTACGAGGCATCGGACAACCTGCTGCTGACTCCGGAGCCTCATGTGGTCATTTTAAGGACCATGCCATCTCGAAACTCGCATGCCCGTTGCGACAACAAACATCTGGTCCAACACCAGTGGAGACTAGGCTCTAAGAAAAGCCGTCTCGGGTGTGGACCAATCAAATTCAAGGACAGTGCATATTATTATCAGAGTTTCTTTTTGTTTGCATTTTTGACTGCTTGTGTTGTGGTTATTGCAAACATAATCCCTTGGATAAAAGTGTCAGTTTTTGTGCCAGCTAAAAGGGTAAAAACCTATTACTATGTATATATATTCTTGGTTCTTTCGGTAAAGTCACGTAGAAGGGAACCAATGAAATAATAAAAATATAAACAATATGTATATATATTGGTGTGCGAAAAGTTGTTCAGGGGTTTGACGGGTGGCCTCAAGGTCCTGAGAGTTTGAGAAAAAAACCCTGAGGTGAAGGTTGATGCCACCCAAAGAGTTGAGATATGATCGCCGCAGCTGCACCAGCCAGTACCGGGGTTCTGTGCTCTGACAGATGAGTTAGAACAGGGGTCGGAAACCTGCGGGCTTTGTTAAGGGGACCACATTGCGGCTCTTGAAATATTGAGGGTTTTTTCTTTACCGAATTCGAAAGAAGTCTTCTCTTGTTATTTTGGTTGCCTATCCCTGACCGTAGGAGTCCCGTTTACCATGGGGGTCCCGTTTACCATGGGGGTCCTGTTTACCATGGGAGTCCAGTTTACCATGGGGGTCCCGTTTACCATGGGGGTCCCGTTTACCATGGGGGTCCCGTTTACCATGGGGGTCCCGTTTACCATGGGGGTCCCGTTTACCATGGGGGTCCCGTTAACCATGGGAGTCCAGTTTACCCTGGGGGTTCCGTTTACCATGGGGGTCCCGTTTACCATGGGAGTTCAGTTTACCATGGGGGTCCCGTTTACCATGGGGGTTCCGTTTACCATGGTCCCGTTAACCATGGGGGTCCCGTTAACCATGGGAGTCCCGTTAACCATGGGAGTCCCGTTTACCATGGGAGTCCGGTTTACCTTTGGCAGGAGTCGGCAACCCGCAGCTCCGAAGCCGCATGCGGCTCTTTAAGGACTACTTCTTGACGTTTATAAAAGACCACCGTCTCGTATTTACCGCACAGTGCATTTTAGCTGTTGGCATTGTGAGTATTTTATTGTTTGTTATTTTGGTTGCTGACCCCTGAGTTAGAAGCTTCCTTAATCAAGAGAACATTTATTTAAAGTAGCGATCATTCTAGTGATATTACTGCGCTGACCGTATTACACGTATTTTTTTCTCTCAAGATATTTCAGCTGAAAAATCCCTCGAGATCGATGGACACATGCAATCGCAAAGACACATGGCAACACGTGTGTACACACATTCACACGCAAGTTATTTTCGTTGGGCGTCACAGTAAAATATTTTTGTTTGACAAATTAATCAAGGCATAGCTTGGGTATGTAGCTGAAAGAAATGCATTTGTTGTTGAGGGTATGAAAAGAGGAACCAGTGGTATCTTACGTTGCTTAAAAGCTTTAGTGATTGTTTTTTTTATTCCCTTGTAACAGCTTTAAATTACGAAAGAAGAGACATTGCTTGCGTGTTTTATGCTGCTGGCCACTGGTCTGATCTGGTTGGGTTGAGGGGTTATGTAGGGAAGGAATGCCTTTGGTTGGGTTCGGGAGGTTTACTTGCGATATCTTAACTTCCTCGCCTAGTATACAGAAGGTCGTGGGTTCGATCCCGACCCTGACGCCTGTATATTTGTAATTTGCGCGTTCTCCCCGTGGTCGCGTGGATTATTCTCTGGGTCCCTCCGGGTTTTCCCTCCACATTTAGAAACATGCGTTTTAGAGTATTTGGCTGCTACTAAAAATGGCCACTTCGTTCATCTATAATTTGTAATAAAGGGCGCTTATTAAAAAGCGCTGCTGTATATAGCTCAGTGGGCTTTACCTGGTAAAATAAAAAATAGTAATATTTTGAGTGCGTGGTCCGGTCAGGTGACGTAAGATGGAGAAAGAAGACCTGGTCAGGTATTTGAGGACCCTTTCAGGTATGGCCAAGTCAAGTAAGATCAGGTTTCATTGAGTAATGGAGGACATAGAGTATTCGGTGCGGTGGTTGCGGTTTGGAGAATTTTAATTCACATTGTTAGAATCCATAATATTTACACTAGAAGAATCTGATGAGCTATAAAGCTGATTTTCATGGATGTCCAGTAGGGGCGGGTCAGAACGTTACAAAAACATACAATACAGAAACACGATAGGAGTGCAAAGTGTAGGAAAGGTCAACAAATTGCTTACAATTATACAAATAAAAATAGACAATTTTGTTTTATCTTACCAGGTAAAGCCCACTGAGGTGTTAACTTATTTTTCAGAAGCGACCTGGCCACAAATACTAGCTCAACAAAGTGGCTCATCATGTGGAAATGTATAGCAGCAACATAATCTTAATGCATGTTTCTGAAGGTGGACAGGTGCGGTTGGGCAGGAAAGTCCAGGACAAGCTCTGCTCTCCTTGGGAGAGAAGAGGAGAAGGAGGAACTGAGGGATGACGAACAACCTCTTCCTCGTGTTGGAGAACACTCTCTATGCCGCCGCCTTCCTCTCCGGCCTCATCGTGGCTACGGCCATGGCGATAACGAAGGTACGTGTGCACATGTCTGCGTGTGTATGCGTGTTTGCTGGCCACCCACCCCCTCGTGTGCCGTTCCGGCCTTCATAGGTGCTCCCTAACAGCACTTGCCCCAACAGTCTGTTAAAGCTACATGGGGGATATTTGTGGTAGTAGTGAGGAGCGGTAGTGTAGAGGTTAGCACGCTGTGCTACAAACCCGAATTTGATTCCTGCTCACAGCCAACATAGGTAACGATTATCTGAATCGGTCCTGGGCCTCTCCTAGGTTGACTCAAATGAGTACCTCGTGCGGTGTGTAAACATCTCCACTAGGGAGACAAAGGCTGCCAGGTGGCGTGGTGTTGACCACCCACCTCCCTTCGTGTGCCATTCCGACCTTCATCAGGACTCGCTAACAGTACTTGCCCCGACGGTCTGTTAAAGGCTATATGGGGTCTTTGTGGTAGTAGCGTCGTAGTTAGCGCACTGCACTATAAACCCGGCCCACTTCAGTTTGATTTACAGTCATAACTGATAATAGTGGTGATTATCTACAATGGAGGTAGCCACCTGGCATCTCCTGAGCCGCATGAGGCTCTTTAATCCACCACATGCGGCTCTATCGAAGTGGCATAATGTAGAACATACTATCACAGTAGCAAAGAATAATGAATGTCTCCCGTGCTGTGCCGAAAACTGTCAATATACATACACTTATGGGTACTTTTTGGCTCTTGGTCTGTTACGGCTTTGCCAGCCCTGATCTACAACCAGTTCTGGCCCTTCCTTAGATTGAATCTACCTTAAACGAGTACCCGGTGCAGTGCAAACAAAATCGGCATTGGCAGAGACATAGGTGGTATGGTGGCGTTTTTGGCCATATTAAATCCCATGGCTTGAAAATCATCACCTGATAGACACATTTTAAGGTATGCATGATGCTGGCCACACATGTGTTCTGCTGACCTTAATAGGTACTCTCGAACAGGACTTTCCCTAGCAGTGTGAATTGCTCAGTGAGGAAACTGTGACTTGTTGCGCTTGTGTAACACAAAGCATCATAAATGGCTGTTTCCAGAATTTGGTATTTGAAGGCGTATTCAGTTTGACTGAATGTGAATAAACCACCCAGAAGCTAAGCAGAGTTGAACCTTGGTGCTTCTTGAATTGACGACCACGATGCATAGAACAGGCATTGAACGCTGTTGCATTGTAATCCAAGGCAGTGCAGAAACATCCATTGTTGTGCTGAACTATGCTTGCAACGTCTTAGCTCCCCACCTCATCAACCCAGGGTAGGGAGCGCTTCATCCAACAGTGGATGAACACTCAAGGCTCCGCAGCAATGTATTAAAAACCCTCCACTTGCCCTACTGCTCTTCCCTTTTATTTCCCCTTCGATTGGTAGTCTTCCAACACATTCTAATCTCTGCACAATCCATCAAGCTCTGGATAACTGGCTTGCGCCAAGACCACATCTGATAGTTGAGATTTCATTACCTTTTCCTTAAACTAAAACTTTTTCACAACCTGGTTTGGTTGTCATATTGTGGTACTTGCAACGGAGCAGTGGCACAATGGATAGTGCAGTGCACCATCTTCCCGGCGACCTGAATTTGAATTCCAGTGACGGCTAACATCATTGGCGAGTGATATCTGAATCAATCCTCGGCCCCACTTTCTACCTGCATTGTTGCAATGTAGTGAACTATTGTCGAAAAACCTCCTTAACCCACATGACATGGTGAGGGCCGCATCCAGCATTAGTAAGGGCGCACCGATGGCAAGATGTTAACTACCTCACCTGGTTTACAGGAGGTCGTGGGTTCGATCCCGACCCTGACGCCTGTATAATTGGTGTTTGCATGTCTCTCGTGGTCGCATGGATTTTCCTCTGGGTTTTCCCTCCAGATTTAGAATCAACATGCGTTTATAGAGTACAGTAAAACCTTGGATTGTGAGTATAATTCGTTCTGGAAACGTGTTTCTAATCCAAAGCACTCGAATTTCAAAGCACTCGTATATCAGTCGTGATCACGTGACGCTCAGCAGACAAAGCGTATACGTACTGCTTGTATTGCAAGACCTCGCTCGTTTATCAAATTAATATTTATTTTAAAAATGTGCTCGTCTTGCAAAACACTCGCAGACCAAGTTACTCGCAATCCAAGGTTTTACTGTATTTGGCTAATATACATTTCCGGACGATAAGCCACTTCGTTGGGCTATCATGTGTGGTCAACTCACTTCCTAAGAAGGGCTATATAGCTCAGTGGGCCTTACCTGGTAAAATAACAAAAATGTGTTTAGTTTAATAAAGGGCTGAACATTATTTGCATTGTGGTACTAACCTAGCCGAGTTGCCCTATGGTACTCGATTCAAGTGGAAGGTGGTGAGTTCGGAAACCAGCCATGAATCGATATGAGCCCATTACCCCCCCCCCCCCACCAGGGGATTGAAAATGGTTACCACTTTGTGGGTACTGCACAGCATCGTATACATTTACCAAGGAATTGTGGAATTCCACCACTGGCGGCGGAGATGAGTACCACCGCAGCACCCGTTTCACCAGGGAGACATTTTTAAGTTGACTTGGTGACAGCAGTTTCCAGTTTTCTTACATTCAGCTGAGTTTTAAAATTAATAACACTTTCACAGGCCATTTGCACCCACATCCCCAAGCCGAACAGAGTCCCCATACACAGCAGCTGCAATGTGACCGACTGAGGCGGCCCTGTTTCAGGACAAGAGCTGTTTTGTGTTCACATGCACACAGCCTTAGCTCACATCACATATTTTTCAAGCCTGCGGCATGTAAGGTTTTTGGCGTAGTCGTTCTTCTCTGATGAATTTACTCTGCGTTAAAAATAAAAGTTGAGTCAACTCGGCTATGGCCGCGCAAAATCGGAAACTTGTGCACGTCCTGCAATTTTGGTAGAATTCGGAGCTTGCCACGAAAAGTCTTTGTTTTTGACCAAGCCATTCATCCTTCTGGGGTAGGTAAAAAAGTATCCGTCAATATATTATAGACTGGACACTACCAAAAAAATAAAGTCGCTGAGGTGTGTTAATGCCTGTCTCACCAAAGGTACTTAGTCTCTATTTGGCCCTCTAAGGGAACTCCAGTCATCCTCGCAGCAGCTTTTGCTAGCCACTGCATCGTGCGCTTTCACATGTGCTTCCGCGACCGTCTGGAACGCTCTTCCGATATTAGAAAGCCACTGGAGCTATGTGCACTTTTAAACATAGATTTAAAACTCATTTCTTTAGAACTGCTTTTTGTGTTTAGTTTGTTGGTCTTCCCCCGCACCTCCCGATTGTCACGGTTGGATACGTAAGGTGCGAAAGAAGTTCAACATACGTACAACACTTCTGTGCTCGGCCCGGTCGACATCCAGGGAAGATGCATATGGCATTAATGGCCGGATGCTGTCAGGCTGTACAGAATTGAACAAATAGCCAAGATTGCCAAAAAGTGCAAGTCTCGACAAGCCAAAGTGAGGAAGGAGATTACTTGTCATTCATAGCCGGCCAGGTGGCTCAGCGGCAGAGCGAGTGCATCGCAGTTGAAAGGTTGCGAGTTCAAATCCCCTCCTTTTACCCCCCCCCATATACGGCTCAGTTGCATCCGGACGGTTCTCCGCGATCGTCGATTCCCGGATTTGCAAGCTGTCCGCCTGCAAATGAGGCTCGCCTTTGGTTAAAATGAAAGCAAACGAATTCCAAATCTTCAACATACGTATAAGGTCCCCCACCTGTGGCGCGCGCGCGCGTGCAGGGGGCGTTTTCTGGCGGGTGCGTGCTCTACGGGGAGGCGGAGGTGAAGGCGGGAGGCGTGGCGAGCGTCGCGCACTTTGGGCACGTGTCGGCCTGCACCTTCCCGCTGGCGGCGGGTGTCATGGGCGCCGTCTACGCCTTCTGCAGCATCCTCTACTGGCTGCACGCCGCCTGCACGGAGGACGCCCGCAGGTGCAGCTGCTGCTTACAGACCGCTGCGTCGAGCTGGCCTCACCGTCTCTTGTGTTGAACGCAAAGTGTCTTTTACCCCGGTTTATTTCCCAATCTCAAAATCGGTGTCTTATCACGAGAGAAAGTATACATTTGGAACTCTGCAGAGGAGTACATTTTGTTGAAGGTGATCCTGTGGAAGTTAATATCACAGAACTACTTCTGAGATTGAATTATCCACTAGTGGCACTGAAAATTCCCACGTATCATGCGATATCAATGTTTGACGCATTGGAAGTCAAATTAATGTTGTCGGAGTGAAGTGAAAAACCGAATTTAAGCGAAATATTTTTTCGTGTATGCAGTCATTGATGATTGCAAATAAACCTGGTTTCATTGCAGGCCGCCGCTTAAAGATGGATTCAAACATTAGTAGTGGTGCTAAACCAAGTGCTCTGACCCTTAAGCCACCCTGTGATCTCACACAGTGCATGTGTTACACTGCATGCCTGCAGATGCTGCCACATTACAGTACTCGCTCTCTTGCGAGCGCAGCAGTACAGCGTACTCTGACATAATACCAACACGGGTAAATGTTTACAGGGCTTACACTGGGGGAGGGATCGGTGTCTGGTGTACTGCTGCAATTGTAGTAGCCAACGTAATGTGGCGGTGTCTGTTCGTATAACGATATGCAGGGGTGATAAGTGCCCCGCACACACTTTTTTAAGAGCAATTAAGTGACCTTTAATTATAACCTTTCCAGTGGTCCATTTTGACTAAACACCTCTTTGACAATGGGTTTGCTACTTTGGTAGTGCCATTTATTTACGTATCTAGGATATACTAACTGAGATTCAAGACTAATTTCAGACGGGCGTTGCAATGGGTATGATGTTCGGTCAGAACCTCCTGAATAACAATATATAATGATATATATTTAAACTTCATCTTCATTAGACCTCCTTTGCCAGTACCAACATGTAATAATAATAGGGTTTTTCCCCTTTTTTCTGGCAACAAAACTGAAACCTTTTTCAGAAGGATACATGTCTGCATTAACCACAATACCTGCAGTCAAAATGCAAACAAAAAACATACAATGATAATATATGCATTGTCCTTGAAACTGATTGGTCCACACCAAAGGACGGCTTTCTTTTGAGCCTCGACCCAATTGGTGCTCGACCAGATGACGCCAAAAGGCGTACAGCTCAAAGACAATGCACTATCAAATTATTATTATATTTAAACTTATTGAAAAAAATCTTCTTGATAATGTTATGCTTGTGGGAGAAACTGGAGTGGTCGGACAAAAATCCCACGCATATGAGCAGATAATGCGTAGGATCGGGAACCCTCTTGCCGTACTTCCACCTCGTGGCTACCTCGTAGCCCTGCAGGTAGAGAGTCTCGCAGCGTGCAGTGATCTCCAATTGATCCTCCCTCCGACTCCGGGCTGGGTTACATGCGTGCACCACGACGCCGGGACAAAGGCTGATTGTGTTTTGCGTTTCTTCTTCATGGTATGTTTAATCAGAATCTTTATTAATCCTGGAGAAATATCATGAGCACGAAGCTATTTTTCCACAGATGTCCGGTAATCTGGGCAAACTGCACAGTTTATCATTGGCTAGATTCCAACTGGGAGAGTCGATGAAAGCTCATTCGCTGGCTCATGTATCAATGTGCCACTTGATAAATAGCCGGCCAGTAGCACTGTGGTCAGAGCGTTGAGCTCAGAATTCAGAGGTCGCGAGTTAAAATCCTAGTTAGAGGCGTTGGCGTGTCTAGGTTTATGTTGTTGTCATGCGTGCGTGTGCGTAGGCTGGCATGGGGAGCGGTAGTGTAGCAGTTTGCACATTGTGCTACGAACCCAGCGACCCGAGTTTGATTCCCGCTCACAGCCAACACCAGTGACGATTATCTGAACCGGTCCTAGGCTTCTTCTAGGTCGATTCAGCCTCAAATGAGTACCTGATGTGGTGTGTAAACATCGCCACTGGGGAGAAAAAGGCATCCGGGCGTGGTGTTGGCCACCCACCCCCTCGTGTGCCGGCCTTCATAGGTGCTCGATAACAGCACTTGCCCTTAAGTTGCGTTAAAGGCTATATGGGAATTTTTTGTCTTTGTAGGCCGGCGTGGTGGGGTGGTGTGGCGAGCGTGGTGGCGGGGGTGTTGGCGCTGCTGTTGCTGGTGAGCGGCTGTGTGCTGCGTGTGGGGCTGGGCCGCTGGTGCGAGTCTCTCATCACCGCCTCCGCCAAGGTGCACCCGCTGCACAGGTAACGGCACCAGCACACACACACACACGCGCGCATGTGCGCACACTTAACACGCACAACAAAGGCAAAACTCCCTGCAACTCCCCCCCCCCCACTCCATAGACTTTAACAGCCTGTTGGTACATGCACGTGTGTCCACACAGCTGCAGGGACGCACAGGCGTTGAACTGGACCGACAGCCACAATGGAGCACGGTTCTACGATAACGTCATCTCTGGGGAGGTGAGCTGGCTTGGCAGCTGTGAGTGTGTGTCTGTGCGCTGCGGTGACGCCACTTAGTACCGAACGGTGGCTGTTGTTTGTGTGACTATACGTGTGTACGTATGCGGGCCTGACCTGTGACCTGCCAGTGAATCCTTTGACACCTCACGTGACCTCAAAGCACATCTAACTTGGCACAAGTGCCTTGGTGACGTCACCACCGCTTAGTGGCGAATGGCGGTGGTGGTGGTGTTGCGCACGAGTGTGTGTACCTGCTGTACACACAGGTGTTGTCTGTAATTCTGACGGTGCCTTTAGCTCGAGCTATACTGTTTGGTTATATACAAGTAACTAATGACACGACTGATAATTATCGGATCGATTCCTCGACGAATCCGTTAACAGGAAAATAATTGTGGGCAAAAGAGTCACCTCTGTTCCCGCGTGTACCGCTGACCGTGAAGTGTTTTGCAAGGTTTGGCGATGTCATCGGCATTATCAGTTTTATTACGCTGGGCGTGACTAGTAAGGGGGTTGATTACAATTTTCACTCCATTTTTTGGCTTCACTAACTGTCCCAACTCGTGATACAATGTACACGCTTATAATAGGGTTTTTCCCCTTTTTTCTGGCAACAAAACTGAAACCTTTTTTTACAAGGATTCATGTCTGCATTAACCACAATACCTGCAGTCAAAATGCAAACAAAAAACATACTATGATAATATATGATGCATTGTCCTTGAAACTGATTGGTCCACACCAAGGGACGGCTTTCTTTTGAGCCTCGACCCAATTGGTGCTCGACCAGATGATGCCAAAAGGCATATATTATCATAGTATGTTTTTTTTTGCATTTTGACTGCAGGTATTGTGGTTAATGCAGACATAAATCCTCGTAAAAAAAGGTTTCAGTTTTGTTGCCAGAAAAAAAGGGGAAAAACCCTATTATTACATTTTGGTACTGGCAAAGGAGGTCTAATGATGTACACGCTATTTTTGCATGTGTGGACCTGCTGGTTTAATTGACATACGAGGTGTGGTGTGTACTTATATGGATGTATGTTGAACTTCTTTTGCACCGTACGTAGCCAACTGTGCTAATCGGAGGTGTGCTTGCCATATTGTGTGCGTGGCATATTGTGTAACGTGCACACTTCACATCGGTGTGCATGGCTATGCTCACGTAACGTGAACAGAAGTGTGTTGTGTCTGCCCCATACAGCTATATTTGTTGGATCTGCTTCTTTGTGTGAGTGATGTGTATGTGCATGCCGTATGGTGCTGTCTCTCGGACGGCGGTATGCGTGGACCTGCCGGTTATCACGGTTGGATGAGTACGGTGTGAAAGAAGTTCTACATACATACATACATAAATGAACCCACAAATGTCTTGTATTCGTCTCTAATAGACTGCGGTGTGGGTGGACCTGCTGGTGTGGGTGGGGTGCGTGGTGCTTCTGGCCGTGCGGGGCCGCGTGCACGGGGAGCCACCCTTCTCCTCACTGCCCGCGCCAGCGTCATGGAACGACAGCTCCGTCGGGGAGCACACTCCCATCCTCAACCCCACAGTCACGTGATCCCCACCGCCCACTGCCAACCGACCACCGTCAAGCCAGCAAAGCCAGTTGCTGCCCTAACCCCATTGCATTGGGAGGGCACAGCAAAATACCATGAGTGAAACGCAAACAAAATGAAAAGGGGGAGGGGGGGGGCTGATTGCAGTGGTGGCCCAGGGGTGGGGGGGGCGGACATAAATATGAAAAAAACCCAACATAACATGTATTTTCTCTGGTAAATATCAATGAAATACCACACAACTGTCAGGCTCGCAAGGGGGGGGGGGGGGGTGTGCTCCCCACTAGCTGGTTGAAGCGTCAGAGGTGGGGCTGGGGTTTGGGTTATGGGTCAGGGATTGGGTAGAGGCTTTTTTTCCCGTGAGGGATAGGGTTTGCTGGGCGAAGTGGCACACGCCTCTAATGCACTGCTTTCGGAGATAAGCGGTCGGTGGATCATATAGATTCTGTGAAACTTGCAAACCAGAGGAGTCGCAAGGTGACCACAAAATTGCAGGACAGCAAAAGGAGTTCTGAGTCCATCTGTGTGGACGTTTGATTGATTGCTGTTCTCTCATTAATTGTGGCTTTTCTCATCAGTCCTCTGGGTTCCTACCACATGCAAAGCTCTTGATGAGATTGACCAACCATTCCAGGCAGAATCCCACTGGAAAAAGAGCCTTAAGATTCGGTTGGTTTTGTGATTATTCAAACTAGCATCTGCACTTGCTACACCACGAAGGATGTTCGCTAAATGTACCATTTGGATGAAGTAAAATGGATGATGAAACTTATTGTAATTATCGCAGGCATCATATTACGCGTATCTTCTCTTATGCAACAAATTGTTAGAAATCAAGATATTCATTGCATCGCGGTGAAGTGGTGGTGCAGTGCAGTGGTTTGCGCCACAGTGCTACAAACCCGGCCATCTGATTTTGGTTCCCAGCCCACGGCTGTCATCAATGGAGAGTGATATTCAAACCGGTCCCTGCCTTCCCCATCCCGCACTGCCCTTCGTGGTGAGGTATTGCCAACCTCCATAACCGACGTAGCGTGGGCAAACCCTAATCGGGCAGTGGATTCACAAAAAGGGCCGAATATATATTATGTTGCGTAACAATGTACATATGATATTACGTCATCGCATCGAAATATTATATTAATACAAGCCTGCCTTGGCGTGTCGACGCCGTTTCACGAGCCACTACCACCGCCGTACTGCCCCAGAGGTGGGAGCCGCGTTCTGGAGGAGTTGCTTCCTAAATAGGTCGCTTAGGTTGTCGTGGTGTTGCACGCTTTGCGCGGCTCATCCTGCTTGGATGCTCGTGGGCAGTATTCACATGCCTAATGAGGCTCTCCTGGACACATGCAGTCCATCGCGCTAACGGGTTAGGACTTGGATCTGGTTGGCGAGTGTGGTTAGGTTTAGGGATAGTGCTCGGAAATAGATGGCTAGTTAGTGCTTTGGGTCGAGTGCTGTCTGGTTGGCTACAGAGTGGTCAGGTTAGTGTTTGGGTAGTTTGTTAGAATTTTAGGGTTATGATAAGAGAGAGTGCATAGTGCGAATAAGGTTAGGGCTAGTGTCTTGGAGAGTCCGTTAGGATTCACGTTTAAGTTTATTTTGTTTCATCAGGTGAGATATCAATAGACCAGATCGGTCTCAATTGCAATTAGATCGATTAGGGGTAGAGACTGTGCTTGGTTGGATAGTGAACTCCACCTCTTCACGTGGTTGTTCATCTACCCCCCTTTCCAAACACGGCCTTGATAGTGTTTATTCTCTATTTGCTGGTGTTCACAGCACTGGCAAGTGAACGTTTTCAAAACCACTGCATTGTGCCCACCGCCCGCTCATTCACTTTCAGTCAGACTAAATCCGAAGCAATCGGCCAGCCGACTTTATATATCAGTGCCCAGACATGGAAACAATCACTTTCTCTTTGCTGCTGCAGCTGGTGGCACTGTGCTCACGGCACTGGAAGATTGAAGGTTCACATCGGGGTCAAATCTTCATAATCGCTGTTGGGCCGGTTAAAACAAGTCACGTCTTTTTTGGGAGTTTGACAGCACTCGTCCTATTCAGAGCTGGTCCCCTGCCAAGTTAACATGGAATTTCCACCTTGGCGCAGGGCCGTCAACAGACCAGTATCACCCCGTGGCTTGTCTAAGCAGGGAGAGACTTTCACTTTTGCCTGACTTTGACTTTGATGTCATTATAGACTCAACATTTGGAACACTCCATGCCACTCCTGCGTAGTTTTTAATTTTTCGACAATTTAAGGTCGACAAGCCCACTGCGATTGTTCCGCGACTTCTTTTGTGAATGCCGTTTTGGCTCCAATGAGGTCGCATGGTTGGCCACCACTTTAGTGGGTCACAGTGAGCGTTCACTTCGATTCACTTTTGGAGAAGCAGTTGGTGCGGAGGTTTAACGCCACTTTTCTTACAGCACCGCCTTGGCATTGCTGTGCCTCGTTCTTTCTCCGCTTTGCTGGTTGGCCCCTCCACGCGGCTCGCTCGCTCAGTCGCTTTGTGCGTTGCATCGATGCTTTCTTGCTTCGGGGGACTTGTCTTTTTTGGCGGGTGCCATCTTTTTCTCAAGATGGCACCCGCCACATCTACCTGCTGATCCTCGTACACATAACGGCCCATCACTTGCTAACACCTCACCTGACCTGTACGCTTTATTAACACGCTACATGCACATTACACCTGCCCACGGAACTGATGATCCGCAGTTCTTACCAACGTCACACGTACTCCTTACACATTGCACGCGCTCCTTACACACTGCGACAACAACAACAGTAACAACCGTAACAACCGTTTCAAATTATATAGCGTCTAAATGCAACCGCATCTGAAGACGCTCTACAAAGTCACAAAGCTACGTAAGGGGTAGAGTGAGGTGGTGGGGGTGATGGGTGGATAGACGGTTAGGGGCAGCCGGGGAAGCACTGATGAGTCACAGGACATCCTCTACTGGGTCGGGCCCATCCACAAACGAACCCCAGGGTATCTATGGGGGGGCCAGGGCCCATGACGTGCACCCCTCATCAATATGGATGCCACGGTGGCGATATGTTAACTCCCTCACCTGGTATGCAGGAAGTCGTGGGTTCGATCCCGACCCTGACGCCTGCTGTATATTTGGAGTTTCCGTGTCTCTCTCTGCCCGTGGTCGTGTGGATTTTTTTTGTCCGGGTCCTTCGGGTATTTGGCTGCTATAAATTTCCACGTGAAAAAAACACTTTGAGATATCATTTGTGGCCAGGTCGCTTCTGAAAAAGAGTTGTATAGCTCAGTGGGCCTTATCTGGTAAAATAACAAATATTTTAGTTTATATTCATTTCTAACATTACCTGCACAGATTGCCAACACATCGCATGTACTTCCCACCAGTATACTACATTTTTCCATACCAATATCTTCCTTTTTAATGTTGGGTAACTTGCCTTGGTTAATATTTAATAATAATAGTAATATAGTGATAACTATACAGTGCCTTATGCAAAAATCTAATTTCAACGCACTTTATTTTATTTCTAAATGCGGTGTAGCACTTACGTGATTTGTAATTGGTAATATTTGACAGCCATTATGTAATAATTATATGAACAAACGTGGTCATAATTAAATATCTAGAAATATCAAACCTCTCAACCACATGGTTTTCCTTGGACTCAGCAGTGCACGTGTATGTGCTGCAGAAATGTATGGCTGCTGGCACATGTAGCGAGTTGTGAGCCTTACCTTGTTTTACAGAAGTTCTCTGGTCTGTCTTATTGGGCAGTGTAATAAAATGTAAGCTACTTGGAAGTTCTGATAGAGCGTATCAAGAGAGCATTGTAGAAGTGGCAGGAAAAAGAGGTTCTGGTAAGTCGGGCGTGTATGCAGGACGGATGAGGACTGGTTACCGAGGCAATGGTTGGTCAGCAAAGGAAAAAAAAAAACCCAAAAACCAGATGGTGTTGTTGATGGCACTCTTCAGAGCAAACCTTGGACATCAGGTGTTCAACCATGTAACAGTTAAGTGTTCTCGCTGATGGAAAGAAGTGATACGATGCAGTGTCGCCAACATCATTGCCCGTCACTTTCTAACGCCTTTTAAGATGATGCCTTGGGCCCACGCCTCTCACCGCACCATATTGAGTATAAGCTGTTCAAATTCAATTTAGGGTATTGACCCTTAGCCTTTTACATAAATATGCCATAACCTCTTGCACTCTTTGAGTACTGCAATAATTAATAAAACGGTGATGTCCAATTGTTTACTATTATAGTTCTCGGCTGCAAAGGAATCAACATTTGCTATAATTCAGAATTGAAATTGTTTTTGTAGTAGATGCTAATTTCACTGACTTTTGTAAGCCCATGAATCTCCCAATACAAGTAAGGTCAGAATCAGTGCCAACCACAATGCAAGAGTTAAATAATAGGCGAACATGCGTGCCGGAATTTATTAGTAATTTACTACGTTACTAACCAATTGAATGTAACGCCACATTTTAAAAGCAATGTCATTCGATTACATGATCGCTGCTGACCTTAAAAAACAGGTTGCTGAAACCTCAGAAACAGTACGATGCTCTGATCGTAGCTTGTGTGGGGTGACCATTAGCTGCTACCGTTCTCATATTAATCAAATCTGCTCACACCATAATTTCAGTGGTTCGAAATGTATATACCAATTGTAAACAAAGTGATGAATCAGTTCATGCGGAGGAGTAATCTGATGACATCCTGAAAATGTAGTTAAACAGGATCGCAGCATTACTCTGATCTTACAATACTGCTTTACTGTCCAATCCTGTTCACGCATCTCGATAGTTTTGAATCTGCAAGTACAAATTTAAATTACTATTGTTATTATTTATGTGCACACGTTGCTTGCCTGGCAGAGTACGCGGTTGATGAAAATTAAAGGCGAGAACGAATGTAAAGTTGCTTGGGGTTTTATTTTTTAAATCACTTTTGCACACAGTCATTGGTGGATACATAATGGTGCCCAGGTTTTACACGGCACGTTCATGCATTTCTTCGCTTTCATCCACTGACCAACGATACGTAAATATTTGTTTTGGTGTAGTTTTTTTTTCTGAAGTCTCGCTACATGGGCAGCTGAGGGAAATCCATTGTTGTGATGTCTCTCTGCTCCCAAGTCTTGTGCCCCCCCCCCACCTTTGGCCAGTACTCTGACCAGCGTAAAGTACTATATGGTCAAATAACCCCGCGTGACTCTCGCGGATTACGGAGGCCCTAATCCACCAGTGGATAGACCAAGTGATGTACATGATGAAATCCAGCCCCAGGTAGCACTGTGGTTACAGATTTAGGTGCACAATTGAGAGGACTGCATTTTCAAATCACAGAGGTCAACTCTGTGATTGACTCGTTTAAATGAAAGCCCACTTTGTCGGAAATAGCGGTGGTCAGCACGTGGGGAAATTTGACCTGGAGAGTCCGGGAATTGGCATCTGCGTTTGGGAGGCAGGAATTAATTTGAACCGAGATCTGGTGGCATCGTATTGAACTTCAACACATTCCTGCGGAGGGAGCTGGTAGGAACGTTGGGTTGCTCGGTCAATGGCCAGGGTCAACGGCGGCGTGGTGTATTCTGCAAATATGCCCGACTGAGGGCGGGCACAAGCCGGCGTGAGTAGGTTAATTAAACGTTGAGTTATATAAGGGCACCACGGGGTGACCAGCCCCTCCCCACCCAGCCCCACCCCCCACCCAGCCCCTCCCCACAGCCCCTCCCCACCCTCCCCTCTCCAGCCAGCCCCACCCCTCCCATTTTTGGATGCACGGCGGACGGACGGACACAATAATCCCCTGTGGGCTGGTGGTGTAACCAGGAGGTTCCTACCAGTATAACACTTTACTGCACATTTAATGATAGACCGAGGGCTGACTCAGAAACAAAACCGGATTCAGTCGTGTGGTAAAGGTGGTGGCGACCCTGGTGTTACCTTGGTGCTTGTTCTTAACCCCTGAAGGCCCAGACCCACAAATCCTCAACACTATCATGAGCGTCGTCCATACGTTTCCTTGTTTTCAGTAAGGATGATCCTGAAAAAGACTCGAGGATTCAATTGCCGTATACCTCGGCACAACCAACAGTAGTGGTGGTCGTATTTCGATTGGAGAAACTGGAGCGGACTGTGAGCGATGGATGTTTTCGTTGACCACAGAATCTGCCACTGGGCTTTAGTCCACATTCCCGAGCGAGTGCGGGCTTGAGGAGGGCTTTAAACACACCAATAACTTGTCAGCCACACATTATCCCGCAAAGGACCATGTCACTCACCCAGAAGCTCTCTATTGTTTTAGGTCTTGCAGTATCGTTGTCCTGCCAGGTGGCTGTGGCTGAAGACAATCGGAAGGTCTCGATGTAAAATGCAAGGTAGTGGTGAACTTGGCTCATGATGATTGTTTTCTCACTGGGGCTACAGTGGTTGTCCTACGGACAGCCATAGGAATGTGGAATTGTATCCACTGCATCAAGGCCACAAAGAGAGATGGGCATCTCTCCATTTACTCGTTTGAGCAACCAGGAGTGCAGACTACAACAAACTTGATTTGAAGCTTTCGTGACTGCAGGAATCCATACTCTTTGGTAAAGCCACGTAGGTAGAAAAATTCAATACAATTTTTTTTTTCTACCTACGGGACTTTACCGAAAGAACCAAAGAGTACAGACTACACCAATTTACTCTCTTTTATGCTTTTGTTCATGAAGAATACTTGAAATGCATTCTACAATACAACTCGGGCTGACATTAAAAGTGACATGCGGTGAACCATCTGAACATGCAGGAGGGAGTGCGGTTTTGTGTTGGGTAAAAGAAGCCTCTTGAAGTGACACCTTTTGAAGTACTCTTGCGGTGTCATCTTCTGGGTCCTATGTCTGGCATGAGGCTCCACGTGTCTTGTAGATCAATACATTGTCTGCACTTCTCCTGCCGGGTAATGTGTTACAAGTGGGATATTAAACAATAAAGTCATTAAGAGCACTCGACTCGCAATGGGAAGGTCACATTCAAATTCCAAGTCGGTGGTTGACCTTGCTCGAACCCATTCAGGGTCGATCATCATGAGTAGCACGCGCAACTGTGAAATGTCAATACAGTAGTTTCAGTTGAATACGTTTAACCAGGTGAAAACTCCAAAAGACAATGGTGGCCTCACGTACAGAAGTGATATGTGCTTCTATTGGTTGACTGAACCCGACCGAGTGAATATTGACATTTCACCAGTGGCTCGGGACTGCCAATGCAAATGAGCACTAACTCCAATGCCTATGAGACACGAGTAGGGTAATTCTTGAATATCTAAACAATAGTTTAAAAAAGCATTTTATAGAATTACACCTTGATCTTGGAAAGTTGAGTACAAAAGTATACAGGGTTCCCTCGCTTTGTGCGGTAGTAGATGCTTTACAAAAAAGGGCGCGACAAAGCAAAACCGCACAAGAGCCAGCTGCCTGCCCAGTAACGCGCACACAGCACACCACACGCACAGCACGCACACAGCCCGCACACAGAGCACACACAGCGCACACACAACGCACACACAGCACACACATAGCGCACACACAGCACACACACAGCACGCACACAGCACACACAGAGCACACACAGCACACACACAGCGCACACACAGCACACACAATGTTGTCCCACGTCCGACCGCATCGCGAGTGAATTCAAACCGCATATATCGCATTGTGTAGAAAAAAGGTGAGCCGCATATATATACTCGAAATCGCGGAAAAACTGGATCCGTATAAAGCGAGGTTAAACCTGTACTGCTTTCTTTTAATCTGCTAGGAGGGCATGCAATGTTTCTGTGGCCCAGCCTCCCAAGTTCCTGCTCTGGGTGCAAATTCTGGGATGGGTATTAACTTGCGGCCCTCTACCACAAGATACCGCCACGTAGCACTCACCGCTCATGAATCTTGTAAAAAAAATTGTATCCCAGTAGCCTTCGGGGCTCAGAGCTCAGACCCTTTGTTAGATTGTAGGGTCATACAGGGTTAGTGTGCTCAGAAATGAGCACATTTGCAGTCGTCGAAGTCTTATTAATGTAATAATTGTTTATACATCCAAGTGGCACTGATGAGTACTCGACTGTTCCTGGGAGTATGCATAGGAAAATAACCCCCTCAAAAATGGCAAAGCTGCTAGGTTTGGGGGGAAAAAGTTACAACGCAGTATATCTTTTATACTCTTGGATGACCAGGGAATACACGGTTATTGACTGGTCTTCAGGAGCCGAATGTCACACTGATTTGACCACTCGTGTAATACATGTGATGTAATTGATGTCCTAGAATGTTTAGAGATCAAAAAATTGGGCCCCGTAAATTATAATCCAGAGGTTTGTTGATTTCACTCATAAGACAGGGTCAGCCAAAAGCAATGTTGCACTTGAGATGATTAAATTAGCAACCAAAAATCCTTCAAACATCCATGTGGGCAACGATGAGTGGATAAAGCAGTCATGCGTACTGTACATTCAAAATGTTTAATCACAAAGTATAATACAATGTGGTTAGTCTAAGACTGGACGTTGGGTTTCATGTGCACGTAAAAAGACATCGCTAGATCTTGAAATTTAATGTCAGAGCTTGGATGGATGCCTCTGTTGGAATTTAACAAAAAAGAAAAACACAGCAACAGTTGTATACAGGTATTACTATTATATCGCTGTCTCCCATAACAAGACAACACAGTCTAATCTTGAACCAAACCAAGAAAATTAATTGAAGCATTGGGATGGTGAACCCTGTCTGAAAACTGCGCAATTCTATACAATGCAAGGTTGTTATGGTTATCTTGCAAGTAGCAATATGTAATGTTAGGAAAGTGATGGTAGTGTTATGTTTGTGGCATGTTGCGTGTGATAGTTATTCATGGTGTTCAGTGTGTGCTGCTGCGTGATATTTAATCGACGTATGTCGATTAAACATGTTTGGTGGTACAAGATTTTTTTGGTGCTGATGGTGTTTGATGAGTAACTAAACTAATTCCTAATTATGAACAGCAAAATCTACAGCCTAAGTCTTACAGATATACACAAGGCAAGGCAATCTTACATGTAATGCACCATGTCAACAAAAAAGGCATGATGAACCTTGATATGGCAAGTGTCATTGTGGTGGTATTGGTGCTTTAGTGTGGTTGTGTTGGTGCATCAGTGGTGGTATTGGTGTATCTGCTGATCTGGTGGGAGCCCATTGAGACACAAGCTTCACACTGACGACTGCTTGTAGTTGGTGGTGTCCAAGATCTTTTTGCCGCACATGGCACAGATTCCTAAAACCAGAAAGAAAGAAAGAAAAAACACATTGAGACGATTCATGTAACCATCTCATGAAATAAGGAGAGAGGGACTTTACTGGTCTGGTGGTGCAAGGGCCTCAATGGCCATGTCAGAGACGAGCTTCCACCGCCGAGACCCAAGGTCCAATCTGGGCTATAGCTACCTGTGATTAAACCAGGATGCCAAGTCTAACAGGATCATAGTCTCAGTGTGGTCACTAAAGAATGCCTCAAAACATCCATGTTTGGTTTGTAACGTAAATTGCCTCTATGCAGCTATGATGGGCACCAGATGCTAGTGGCCTCTACAATGGGATTAAGGCTGTCGGTGAAGATTTGGCACCACCCAATCAATGCTTATTTCAGCTGACAGAAGCTTAGACTTCACTTGATGTCCAAGGCTGCATCGAGAGGGGGCAAAGTCCATTTGAAAAATTGTAACAATGCAAGTTGTAACAATGCAAGTTGTTACAATTTTTACAAAGGTAAACAGACACAACAATGCACATAGGCAAATGTACTTAGGCAAATGTACTTACACACAGGCTCAAACACAGGTACAGAAACACCGTTGTGTATACAACCAAAACAACCACCATTCGCCACTAAGTGACGCTGACGTCACCACGGAGCTTATGCCAGGCTGTGCATTTTAAGACCACTTGAGGTGTCGAACGCCCACTGGCAGGAAGTCATGGGACAGACCCAGTTGCCATGGATTAACTAAGATGACTGGCCGATGCACCATCTGTGGCCCGATAGTGCCAACTTGCTGTATTTTATCACCCGGCGCTCCGCTCGCGTTTTCTAAAATAAAAAGCACACACGTACACACGTGTGACCACACACACATACAAGCTGGTGCACATATACGCACACAGACAAGTTCTTTAAAACACACACACGGATATGCACATACACACCGCACACACTCACCTTTCTTGTAGGCACAGCCCTGGCAGTAGTTGGAGCCCACTTGGTGTACGGAGCTCTTGCAAATGCGGCAGTTGCTGAAGCGGTTTTTGCCGTAGGGACTGAAGCTGAAGAAGGGGAGGGGGCAGTTCAAAGGGTTTTAGTGAGTGGATACCCGAGTCGCAGCCAAGCATTCCACCGACAATAAACACAACCACATATACACTGATACATCATGTATACACACAAAGACCCCCCCCCCGCCCCGCCGTATAGCCTTGGGGAAAGTCCAGTTAGCCAAAAGCTATGAAGATCGCCATGACACACAAGGGTATGGTATTTCCAGCATTATTCAAGGTCGCCTTTGTCTCCCCGGTGTTGAAGTAAATAGATCACACCAGGTACTCGAATCTAAGTCAACTTAGTGGAGGCCAACGGCAGGTTCAGATGCCTCTTGTCACTGATGTTCATGTGCATCACGGTCGGGAATTGAACCTGGGGTGGCTGGTATCTTAGTGCAGTCAGTGAATCCACATTATTACCACTACTCCCAACACACACAGACACACAGACCAAACCAAAGGGACGGACGTACACACAAGTACACAATAACACACAGGTACACAATAACACACAGGTACACAATAACACACAGCCACACTCACCGTGCCCGCTTGGATGTCAGTGCCTTATTCTCGTTGAGTTGCCGGCCACCACCCTCTGTGGTGAATAAGTGATGGGAGTTGGTAAACATGACAGGCATATAAGTTAACATTATACGGCAACAGTAGTGCTCTGACTACACAGCCACCCCACTGAGGATTTCAGTTCAAATCCTGGTCAAGGGCCTGTTCGGCCTGCTGTCATTAACCTTCTGGGGTCGATAAAATGACACCGTTGAGTAGAGTGGGTCGGTGGTGGCTATGCACGTGGCCTATAATCCAGGACTGTGGAAGCAGCGACGGTTGGAGGATCGCATTACCCTGGCATGTCCAGAGAAGGCATGACAGCAAGTGGACTAATCACCATCTGTTTCCATCTGTGCAGGGATAAAGTGTTGCCCCCCCCTCGCGTGCACGTGGATTTTCTCCAGGTGCTCCGGTTTCCTCCCACTTGTAAAAGCACTCAGTAATTGTCTGAAGACATCGCAAAAATAACCCAATACAGGATCCTCCTGAAAAAGAGTCAAATGACTCAATGTGGCTTTCCGGGATAAGTGATATTAACGCACAAACATTTTTTACCAGGTAAGGCGCACAGAGCTATGTAGCTCTATTTTCAGAAGCGACCTGACCACAAATGATAGCTCAACGAAGTAGCTTATCACGTGGAAATATGTAACAGCCAAATACTCTAAACGCATGTTGATTCTAAATGTGGAGGGGAAAACCGGAGGACCCGGAGAAAAATCCGCACGACCACGGGGAGAGAGACACGCAAACTCTAAGAAATACAGGAGTCAGTTTCAGGCGTTGGGGACGACCTCTTGTATACCTGGTGAAGGCGATAACATCTTGCCACCGTGTAATCATACATGGAACATGTGAATTAGACAGAAAAATCCACAACAGTGACCATAGAATTGGTTCTCACAACATCCTTGGATGTCGCATGACACCACCATACTACTGTGTAACGCACACAGCCTTGTTTTAGACCGCCAACTCAAGACAAGATTGTGGCCATTGAATTTCGACAGCAGCAATCCTTATGATCGGGGGGGGGCGGGGGAGATCATCGGGAGAGTATCGCCACCATTGCCTACTGCTGTCTTATACCTCAGAGGGCTTCATGAGCACAGCTGGCTACGTGCAGTGCGAAAGAAGTTCAACGTACATACACGAGGAGAATCCCTGGACCCTGATAACCCTGTGGACAGTTTGGCGACAATAAACCAATTCTAATTATTTCTGCAAATGATGTTTTATGGTGTAATGTGCAATATCTATTTGCGTATCATTCTTCTGCACCGTCTATTCCCATGTGGATCTTTCCTGTGTGCAATGTATGGAATCCCTTTTGGTGTGAATTGTGTAGTTGTGTACTGGCTATTCCAATTTGTGTATCGTCCCAATACCACCGTATTCCCGTGTGTTTTGTGAATTCCCATTGTACTCGGACGTCTCACCCGTCGTATTTCGTGCTCCATCCTTCCACGTGTCTGGGCAGATCACTTTTCCGAGCTTCTTCTCACCTGTGGAGGCAACACTCATGAACAACATACCCACACGTGTCAAGCATGCACACACACACACAGTACAAACATAACAACACAACACACGAACGTGAACAACATACCCACACGTGTCAAACACACACACAGTACAAACATAACTACACAACACACGTACATGAACAACATACCCACACGTGTCAAGCATGCACACACAGTACAAACATAACGACACACGAACATGAACAACATACCCCCACGTGTCAAGCATGCACACACACACGTATACCGTACAAATACAACTATACACGCGACACGTACACACAATACACGAACCTATACAGCACACATAGAACATACAGTATCTACATACACCACGCTGCGTACACACACACACATATATACAACGTACAACGTGAATTGAAAGTGCAGACAAAAACACATACACACAGTACAAGCATGCGTAGACACACTCGTATATATATGTTTTAAAGTACTATACACAAATACCTGTACCAAAAACAGCATCACGACACGTGTACACAGCACACCGTCCACACACGGATGGTCCGAAACGCACAGGCCCGCAGAACTGGCACAACAATCGCCGTGGTCGCCACTACCTCACCCGGCGCCCGTGCCAGGCTAGGTGCACCTTCAACCCAGCAACACGCACGCGCTCCCCTACAACACCTACGACACGTTGCAGATGACACTGCGCGCAGCTTATACAACGGGGCTTCGGCAAGCTTACTGACCGAAGGAGGTTATTATTCACGCGAGTTGTAGCGTAGCTTTAAGCATCCTAATGTGTGTGGCCCCTTAAAAGCGAGCCGCCCGAAGTGTAAGCGCTGTGGTGCTCGAAGGCATCACTAGGCCGCGACCCGGGGGCCTAGTGATGCCCGAGATAGGAAACAGATAATAAAATAAAACACACTTACACGTCTTACAAACCATCCCCGCGAGCACACGCCGCGGGCAGGAGATCGGCAGCTTACACAAAGACAACAACAACAAAACACCTCAAGAGTAAACGTCTTATTGTTTCACGAGAATAAACAGCGAGGAGAGCGAGCGAGCGAGAAAATTTACTACGAGGCCCCGTTTCCGTAAACGCGACGTCACGTGACACTAGGCCCCCTTGTTCCTCCCTCCTCCACCCCTTCTCCCCCCTCCCTCCCCCTTCTCCCCCCTGCCTCCCTCCCCCTTCTCCCCCCCCCTTCTCCCCCCTCCCTCCCTCCCCCTTCTCCCTCCCTCCCCCTTCTCCCCCCTCCCTCCCTCCCCCTTCTCCCCCTCCCTCCCTCCCCCTTCTCCCCCCTCCCTCCCTCCCCCTTCTCCCCCCTCCCTCCCCCTTCTCCCCCCTCCCCCCGCCTCCTCCACTCCTTCTCCCCCCTCCCTCCCTCCCCCTTCTCCCCCCCTCCCTCCCCCTTCTCCCCCCTCCCTCCCCCTTCTACCCCCTCCCTCCCCCTTCTCCCCCCGCCTCCTCCACTCCTTCTCCCCCCTCCCTCCCCCTTCTCCCCCCTCCCTCCCCCTTCTCCCCCCTCCCTCCCCCTTCTCCCCCCTCCCTCCCCCTTCTACCCCCTCCCTCCCCCTTCTCCCCCCTTCCCCCGCCTCCTCCACTCCTTCTCCCCCCTCCCTCCCCCTTCTCCTCCCTCCCCCTTCTCCCCCCTCCCTCTCCCTTCTCCCCCCTCCCTCCCTCCCCCTTCTCCTCCCCATTAAAACCCTCCACCACCCGACACAGCCAACTAGTAAGGGTTGTCACGTAAACAGAACGTGGCCAATTCGTCACTAGTACAGCACACCGGTGTGTAGTGTATAGTGTAGTGTATAGTAGTGTGTAGTGTAGTATACTAGTACAGCACTAACCGGTGTGTTGGAGAGCCAAGCCACAACATTTACAATCTGAGTACGACGTTTCGCCAGTAATTACAGCTAGCTTCATCAGGCGACATACAGATTTGTGGAGAAGTCCACCTCTTTCGTTCCTTATATAGACGCGTAGATGTGGTGACCACGCTTCTGTTCTCTTGCACAATGATGGGGGGGGAGATGACTGAGTCTGCGTACATTATGCATGTGCATTATGCGAGCCCTTTGAACTTGTTCTTCCTGTCTATTGTGTTTATTAAAATAGCCCCACCAACGGTAATCTCTATTGAAGTATGCTGCGCTTTGTAGGCATGCATTTAAATAATTATTATTTGATGATTCGCCTCCACGCAGCACTAAGGCGGTAGCTATCCGAACGGTTAAAGTCTATTTGATTTATTTCAATTTCGATAGATTATCTAATTAGTCTTGGCCAGTAGTAGCTGGTTTTGTACAAAACTTCAACATTATCAAAATCAATTCAGTGTCCTCTCATGGACATTATCAAAATCAATTGAGTGTCCTCTCTGTGAATGATATTGATCGCGAAAGCCTACGTGTTAAACAGATGTACTGCTGTTCACATACAGTACTGCTCTTTGTCAGTCCACTGCTGGATGAGGGCCTTCACCACGCTGTGCGGGTCGTGGGGGTTATGCGACCATACTTCACCGCACTGGTCAATGCGGGTTGGTGAAGGCGGCGGGCGTCAACGCGGACACATGGCGGCACAGTACAACGATGTAACCATTCTACTGAACTGCCCTCTGCTTTCCACAAAGGTAGCTCCCGCAGCAGCCTATGACACCTGTTGTGCATGGTGGTCACCCATTCTGGCGCTTATCCTGCAAGCTCACACCTGCCTCGATTCCGAGATCCGATCAGATCGGGCACATTCTGGGTGATTTGGATTTTCAAATCACTGCGCCCTAGAATTCGGTTTAATCTATGGTTGATTTCGAAAACGTATTTTTTTGGGGTTTGGCCATGACTTTTTTTGTTGTAGTACGGAGTTAGAATGATGGCTTTAATCTAAGTTGTCTTGTGGTTGTTGTTGTTTGACTTGCATCCCACTGGGATTTTTGCACACAGCGTTGGTGTACGGTGCTTTTTCTGGAAGATTTTTGCTGTTTTTTTTCCTGGATTTTCTGTTTGCGCATAGTCACGTTAAGATATTTTCTTGTTCATGTTTTTTGTTTGTTGCGGTTGCACCCGATTCAAGAGTCGAATGGCACACAGGGCTGTACCAAGTAAATTAAATGAAAATGAAATGAAATTGTTGAAACCAGATTAAAACCCAGGTTTTCAGCAGGCTGATTCAATGCTCTGACACAACTATGATGTAATAATAATACTTTCATTTTGGATAGCGTCATTCATGCCAACAGCATCGCGCAACGCTATACATTAATTTACGACTATAATGAGCCAAGAATGTCTGTGTCTCGCGCGTGACGTCACTCCACGTCGGCCAGCCCCCCTCATTAATATTCATGAACAGGTAACGTCCTCCAAATGGACCCCCCCCCCGCCCCTCATTAATAATCCTGAGCGGGTGACGTTACTCCTCATGTAGCACCCCCCTATTTTAATAATCATGAAGAGGTGACGTATTCCAAATGGACACCACACCATTAATGTTAATTAGCGGGTGACGTCACTCCACATGGGGGGGGGGGGCGCCTCCTCCCCCCTTGTCAGCGTCAACTCACAACCCTCACTACAAAGGCAGAACCCTCACGTCACGTGATCTCCGTCACGCTGTTGAGACATCAAAGTAAAAAGGACGCCACGATGAACAAGGGATGATCATTTTTAAATGAAATAAGTCTGTGTCACCGCGCACTTACAAATTGTACGCGAATTGGTGCAATGAATATCACGTCCCGGTCCGCTTTTCGCTTGCAAGTTTCAGATCTACTGAAATACATCCGTCCTTTGGACGGGCAAAAGGCTAATTATAGATATAAGGACCAATTCCCATATACGTGGTTGGCTATCCACGGTGCGAAAGAAGCCCAACACACACACACATTACCAAACAAACGATAACCCGACTACCAAGCAAAACAAAACAAATGCATATACGAATTAGGAAATCACGTACAACAAAAAAATAAAGTTATCACAACAAAGAAATTCGTCCTTAAGGTCTACAACTGCAACATCCCAGACCACAACTCCAACTCCCAAACCAAGCCAGGATACCTTCACAGGAGGGGCAGTCGTGGAGTGCCAACATGTTACTCCTCATTTGTATCAATCGGTCCAGAGACAGACATTACGAACGTTATTGAAACAGAGAGGCACCACTACTGGCTGGGATGGAATCCATAATTTCAGCCTTTCTGGCCCAATGCCTCAGATGTGGGCCATTATGGTGGCGAATTTAATCGCGTCGTATTAGTCGATGTAACTGGGGGGGGTTAGTTATTGTGGCATCATCAAACACAATCAACTTAAGTCATCACCTTTTAATGGAAGCATTTCACTGGAGAATTGTGGGAATCATGGCACCGGAAGGCATGCACATTTTCACGACAGTTTTGTGCTCATTTTGCCTGTTTAACATTCAACAAGCACGAGTTCAAGGTCAGAACTGAACTCAATATCAATAACCTGACGATAATTAACAAAAAAACACCCACGGTGGCGAGATGTTAACTACCTCGCCTGGTGTACAGGAGATCGTGGGTTCAATCCCGACCCTGACACCTGTATATTTAGAGTTTACATGCCGCTCTCTCTCCCCGTGGTCGCGTGGACATTCCCAAGGTCCTCTGGGTTTTCCCTCCACATTTAGAATCAACATCCGTTAAGAGTATTTGGCTGCAATACATTTCCACGTGATAAGCCACTTCGTTGAGCTATCATTTGTGATAGCCAGGTCGCTTCTGGCAAAGAGCTACATAGCTCAGTGGACCTTATATGAAAACAATGTAGATCATTAAGGATGTATTAAAGAATTGATTTCATATATTGTGATTCATTGATATGTTAAATAAGCTTATTATTAAAAATGTTGTCGACAATGAAACGTACAGCCCTATATAAAATCAGACAACAAACAAATAGCATGCCATACGTGGATGTGTGAATGTGTCTATGGTTTGCAGTGGCTACAGTGGTTGGAATCTGCCTTGAGTTGGATTTCCAACTCACGGCTAGCATCAGTGGCGAATATCTGAACCGGTCCTGAGCCTCCCCGTAGGTCCACTCAGCCTTAAGTGAGTACCTGGTGCGGTGCGTAGTAAACATCGCCAACGGGGGAGACAAAGGTGGCCGGGCATGGTGTTGGCCACCCACCCTCTCGTGTGACGTGACAGCCTTCAAGAGGCGCTCGCTATCGCACCTGCCTCTACAATCTATGAAGGCTATACGGGGGATCTTCGTCTTTTTTTTTGTAAATCTGTGTGTGCATATGTACTGTATGTAATTGTTTATGCACGTATGTGTTGTATACTTACGTGTGTATTACAGTATTGGGTAGGTATACGTGTTAGTGTGGGTATGCATGTGAATGCATGTGTATCAATATATAGGGGGTGCGGTGGAGCAGCGGTTAGCGCACTGCGCTCCAAACCCCGCCGAACCCAGCAACGTCAATGACAAATTTCTGAACCGGTCCTGGGTCTGCGCTAGGTAGACTCAGCCTTAAACGTGTGTAAAAAAAACACCACCAGCACCCGGGGGGGGAGACAAAGGCGGCCGGGCGTGGCGTTGGCCAACCCACCCCTTCCGTGTGCCATACAGCACGTGCCCCCCACCCACCCCACCAGCCTGTTAGGATTACACGGGGGATCCTCGTCTTGTGTGTGTGCACATATGTATGGTTATGTGCGCGTGCGTGGGTATGCGCGTGCGTGTGTGCGCGTGCGCAGACCAAGCAGCAAAGCGGGGGAGAGAGACAGAGCGGGCACGCGCGCGCACTAAGCCCAACAAGAGACCGTCATTATTGAGCGAGCCGAGTTAAGAGAAGCGGGGAGAGATCATCATTCATTCATTCATAGCCACATATTCAAACAGGAGGGGACACAGCGACCAGAGTGAAAGTGGGGGAGACAGCACAGACAGAGAGAGAGAGAGCTTGAACCCTACGGCAAGGGAGAGAGAGAGAGAGAACGTCAGCAAGCAAGGGGGAATCGCATGTTTATCCAGGCAGGAAAGAGAGGGCATTAAAGCACGCAGAGCAGAGAGAAGAGGGGGGGGTGAGGCGTACGCACAGAGGCTGGGGGAGAGAAGCAGAGAGACAGAGAGCGGGAGCTTTTTTTATGTTCTGGTAGTGGGGGGCATCCCGAGATTATTAACGCACGGGGTGGGGGGGGGGGACATTCGCGTACAGATGGAGAGAGACGGCAGAGTCGGATGATAGAGAGAGAGAGAGCACATTCCATATTACAGGGCAGTCGGGGTGAGTGGACACTGCAGAGGCAGCGGGTGGGAGGGTTGGGGAGAGAGAGAGAGAGAGCCTTGAGTTTAAATCCGGCGGATAGACAACATTGAAGTGGAGGAGAGAGAGAGAGAGACAGGAGAGACATTAACGGCGAGATTGATCATTAATTTTGCCGTGTCTAGCTAGGGCAGCGGCGGTGAATCGGACAGTGAATGAATATTAAGGGTATGTGGGAGGCGAGAAGAGAGAGCGATCGATACGCACGGACCGCTGGTCACACAGAGGAGGGGTGGAGAGAGTGAATAGCGGGGTAAAGAGAGCAGATGAGAGAGGAGAGGTGGGCAGGGTGGCTACTACATATGCGGAGGTAAAGAGGAGTCGTTGACGTTCGAGGAGGAGGAGGAGGGAGATCGAGCCAGGTGAGAGGCGTCTGGCGCTGTGAGCGACTCCACGAGGAGCCGCCGACCTCGTCCCAGCGGGGTGCGAGTCCGGGATAGCGCTCACGGTGAGGTGTGTAACGTGTGTGTGTGTAACGTGTGTGTAACGTGTGTGTAACGTGTGTGTGTAACGTGTGTGTGTAACGTGTGTGTAACGTGTGTGTAACGTGTGTGTGTGTGTGTAACGTGTGTGTGTGTGTGTAACGTGTTTGTGTAACATGTTTGTGTGTGTAACGTGTGTGTGTGTGTAACGTGTGTGTGTGTAACGTGTGTGTGTGTGTAACGTGTGTGTGTAACGTGTGTGTGTAACGTGTGTGTGTGTAACGTGTGTGTGTGGAACGTGTTTGTGTGTGTAACGTGTGTGTAACGTGTGTGTGTGTAACGTGTGTGTGTGTAACGTGTGTGTGTGTGTAACGTGTGTGTGTGACGTGTGTGTGTTTAACGTGTGTGTGTAACGTGTGTGTGTGTAACGTGTGTGTGTAACGTGTGTGTAAGGTGTGTGTGTATATAACGTGTGTATATAACGTGTGTGTTTGTAACGTGTGTGTGTGTAACGTGTGTGTGTGTGACGTGTGTGTGTGAAACGTGTGTGTGTAACGTGTGTGTGTGTATAACGTGTGTGTGTAACGTGTGTGTGTAACGTGTGTGTGTAACGTGTGTGTGTGTAAGGTGTGTGTGTAACGTGTGTAACGTGTATATATAACGTGCGTGTGTGTATAACGTGTGTCTGTAACGTGTGTGTAACGTGTGTGTGTGTGTAACGTGTGTGTGTAACGTGTGTGTATAGTGTGTGTGTAACGTGTGTGTGTGTATATAACGTGTGTGTGTGTAACATGTGTATGTGTATAACGTGTGTGTGTATATATAACGTGTGTGTGTGTAACGTGTGTGTAATGTGTGTGTGTGTAACGTGTGTGTGTGTGTGACGTGTGTGTAACGTGTGTGTGTGTGTAACGTGTGTATGTAACGTGTGTGTAACGTGTGTGTTTATAACGTGTGTGTGTGTAACGTGTGTGTGTGTAACGTGTCTGTGTGTAAGTGTGTGACGTGTGTGTAACGTGTGCGTATATATAACGTGTGTGTAACGTGTGTGTGTAACGTGTGTGTGTAACGTGTGTGTAAGGTGTGTGCGTATATAACGTGTGTATATAACGTGTGTGTTTGTAACGTGTGTGTGTAACGTGTGTGTGTGTGTGACGTGTGTGTGTGTAACGTGTGTGTGTGTGTAACGTGTGTGTGTAACGTGTGTGTGTGTATAACGTGTGTGTGTAACGTGTGTGTGTAACGTGTGTGTGTAACGTGTGTGTGTGTGTAAGGTGTGTGTGTAACGTGTGTAACGTGTATATATAACGTGCGTGTGTGTATAACGTGTGTCTGTAACGTGTGTGTGTAACGTGTGTGTGTGTGTAACGTGTGTGTGTGTAACGTGTGTGTATAGTGTGTGTGTGTAACGTGTGTGTGTGTATAACGTGTGTGTGTGTAACGTGTGTATGTGTATAACGTGTGTGTGTATATATAACGTGTGTGTGTGTGTGTGACGTGTGTGTAATGTGTGTGTGTGTAACGTGTGTGTGTGTGACGTGTGTGTAACGTGTGTGTGTGTGTAACGTGTGTGTAACGTGTGTATGTAACGTGTGTGTAACGTGTGTGTTTGTAACGTGTGTGTGTGTAACGTGTGTGTGTGTGTGTAACGTGTCTGTGTGTAAGTGTGTGACGTGTGTGTAACGTGTGTGTATATATAACGTGTGTGTAACGTGTGTTTGTAACGTGTGTGTGTGTGTAACGTGTGTGTGTGACGTGTATGTGTAACGTGTGTGTGTAGCGTGTGTGTGTAACGTGTGTATAACGTGTCTGTGTGTGTAACGTGTGTGTAACGTGTGTGTGTGACGTGTGTGTAACGTGTGTGTGTAACGTGTGTGTGTGCAACGTGTGTGTGTAACGTGTGTGTAACGTGTGTGTGTAACGTGTGTGTATAGTGTGTGTGTAACGTGTGTGTGTGTAACGTGTGTGTATATAACGTGTGTATATAACGTGTGTGTGTGTAACGTGTGTGTGTGTAGTGTGTGTGTGTAACGTGTGTGTGTAACGTGTGTGAGTAACGTGTGTGTGTAACGTGTGTATGTGTGTAACGTGTGTGTATGTGTGTCACGTGTGTGTGTAACGTGTGTGTTTGTGTGTGTAACGTATGTGTGTAACGTGTGTGTGTAACGTGTGTGTGTATAACGTGTGTGTGTAACGTGTGTGTGTGTGTGTATAACGTGTTTGTGTGTAAGTGTGTGACGTGTGTGTAATTGTGTGACGTGTGTGTGTGACGTGTGTGTGTGTATAACGTGTGTGTGTATATAACGTGTGTGTGTAACGTGTGTGTGTAATGTGTGTGTGTATAACGTGTGTGTATATAACGTGTGTGTGTGTGTAACGTGTGTGTGTAATGTGTGTGTGTGTGTAACGTGTGTGTGTAACGTGTGTGAGTAACGTGTGTGTATGTGTGTAACGTGTGTGTATGTGTGTAACGTGTGTGTGTAACGTGTGTTTGTGTGTGCAACGTGTGTGTGTGTAACGTGTGTGTATAAGGTGTGTGTGTAACGTGTGTGTGTGTGTGTATATATAACGTGTGTGTGTGTATAACGTGTGTGTGTAACGTGTGTGTGTATATAACGTGTGTGTGTGTGTAACGTGTGTGTGTGTAATGTATGTGTGTGTAACGTGTGTGTGTGTAACGTGTGAGTAACGTGTGTGTGTGTGTGTAACGTGTGTGTATGTGTGTAACGTGTATGTGTGTAACGTGTGTGTGTGTAATGTGTGTGTTTGTGTGTGTAACATGTGTGTGTGTAACGTGTGTGTATAACGTGTGTGTGTAACGTGTGTGTGTAACGTGTGTGTATAACGTGTGTGTGTGTATAACGTGTGTGTGTAACGTGTGTGTGTGTATATATATAACGTGTGTATGTATGTGTAACGTGTGTGTGTATAACGTGTTTGTGTGTAAGTGTGTGACGTGTGTATAATTGTGTGACGTGTGTGTGTGTAACGTGTGTGTGTGTGTGACGTGTGTGTGTAACGTGTGAGTGTAACGTGTGTGTGTGTGTAACGTGTGTGTGACCTGTGTGTGTAAAACGTATGTGTGTTTAACGTGTGTGTGTGTAACGTGTGTGTGTAACGTGTGTGTAACGTGTGTGTGTGTGTGTGTATAACGTGTATGTATGTGTGTATATAACGTGTGTGTGTGTAACGTGTGTGTGTAATGTGTGTGTGTGTAACGTGTGAGTAACGTGTGTGTGTGTAACGTGTGTGTATGTGTGTAACGTGTGTGTGTAACGTGTGTGTGTGTGTAACGTGTGTGTGTAACGTGTGTGTGTGTATATATAACGTGTGTATGTGTGTGTAACGTGTGTGTATAACGTGTTTGTGTGTAAGTGTGTGACGTGTGTGTAATTGTGTGACGTGTGTGTGTGACGTGTGTGTGTGTGTAACGTGTGTGTGTGTGTGTGACATGTGTGTGTGTGTAACGTGTGTCTGTGATGTGTGTGTGTAACGTGTGTGTATAACGTGTGTGTGTAACGTGTGTATGTAACGTGTGTGTAACGTGTGTATGTGTGTGTAACGTGTGTGTGTAACGTGTGTGTGTAACGTGTGTGTGTGTATAACGTGTGTGTATGTGTGTATATAACGTGTGTGTGTAACATGTGTGTGTTTAACGTGTGTGTGTAACGTGTGTGTAACGTGTGTGTGTGTGTGTAACGTGTGTGTGTGTATATAACGTGTGTGTGTCACGTGTGTGTGTAACGTGTGTGTGTAATTGTGTGTATAACGTGTGTGTGTGTAACGTGTGTGTGTAACGTGTGTGTGTAGCGTGTCTGTGTGTGTAACGTGTGTGTGTGTAACGTGTGTGTGTGTGTAACGTGTGTGTATGTGTAACGTGTGTGTGTGTGTAACGTGTGTGTGTGTATATATAACGTGTGTGTATATAACGTGTGTGTGTGTATAACGTGTGTGTGTAACGTGTGTGTGTATATATAACGTGTGTATATAACGTGTGTGTGTGTATAACGTGTGTGTGTAACGTGTGTGTGTGTGTGTAGCGTATGTGTGTGAGTAACGTGTGTGTATAACGTGTCTGTGTGTGTAACATGTGTGTGTGTAACGTGTGTGTGTGACGTGTGTGTAACGTGTGTGTGTAACGTGTGTGTGTGTGACGTGTGTGTGTAACGTGTGTGTAACGTGTGTGTGTGTAACGTGTGTGTGTATAGTGTGTGTGTGTATATAACGTGTGTGTGTGTAACGTGTGTGTGTGTGTATAACGTGTGTATCTAACGCGTGTGTGTGTGTAACGTGTGTGTGTAATGTGTATGTGTGTGTGTAATGTGTGTGTGTGTAACGTGTGTGAGTAACGTGTGTGTGTAACGTGTGTGTATGTGTGTAATGTGTGTGTTTGTGTGTGTAACGTGTGTGTGTGTGTAACGTGTGTGTGTAACGTGTGTGTATAACGTGTGTGTGTGTAACGTGTGTGTGTATATAACGTGTGTGTGTAACGTGTGTGTGTATATAACGTGTATGTATGTGTAACGTGTGTGTGTATAACGTGTTTGTGTGTGTGTTTGAGTGTGTAATTGTGTGACGTGTGTGTGTGTGACGTGTGTGTGTAACGTGTGTGTGTGTGTGACATGTGTGTGTAAAACGTGTGTATGTTTAACGTGTGTGTGTGTGTAACGTGTGTGTAACGTGTGTGTGTAACGTGTGTGTGTGTAACGTGTGTGTGTATAACGTGTGTATGTGTGTGTATATAACGTGTGTGTGTGTAACGTGTGTGTGTAATGTGTGTGTGTAACGTGTGTGAGTAACGTGTGTGTGTGTGTAACGTGTGTGTATGTGTGTAACGTGTGTGTGTAACGTGTGTGTGTAACGTGTGTGTGTGTGTGTAACGTGTGTGTGTGTGTATATATGACGTGTGTATGTGTGTGTAACGTGTGTGTGTGTATAACGTGTTTGTGTGTAAGTGTGTGACGTGTGTGTAATTGTGTGACGTGTGTGTGTGTGACGTGTGTGTGTAACGTGTGTGTGTGACATGTGTGT